AAATAAAATAACAACTCCCCCTAATCTTAATGCAAATTAAGAAACAAACATATAGGATTTAAAGTTATATTGCATATTAAAATATAAAAGGCCGTAAATAAAAGTGTAAACACTGAACGAAAAACAGAAATAAAGTTATACTGTCATACACCAAAAGAGTAGGTTAAAACTTTACAAAAAGTGGGTTAAAGCTTTACAAAAGATGTATGCTTTACAAAAGATATGTCACTGACATGTCATACACCAAAAATTATATTCTCATACACCAAAAATATGTATGCTTTACAAAAGATGTGTCAATAACATGTCTTCAAATATGTGTTTGCCCAAACTTCCTCATTACTTTCCAAAAAGTCTTTGTATCAACTTTTATGTATCCCCAATGACGAATATGCACAACAATCTGATAATTTGTGGAAACAAAAAAAATATAGATTAGTATATTTGTTGGAAATATACATGTCAAAATACTTTGAAATTGAAATTACCTTATTACATCCCCATCGAAGCAAGGTAGTCGTATTTCTCCGTTTAAGCTCCATAGATTTTTCGGTCCAATCCTACAAAAGTCCAAATTTCAAAATATTATTAGATTGAAATTTTTTAAAAAGTTATATAATCAACAGACATAAATCTACGTGGTTACTTTCTAATAAAATGTCATTTAATCTGCATAGAATACTACAGCAACACTTCCGGATAAACAATATTTGTAGTAGAATCCAAATTATCTTTAGGGAGGAGAATACTTATACGATCAAAGGATGTACATCTATAGACAATGCCACATATAATTGCCCATGGCTAAATACTGGTATACGCAAATCAACCCCAACAAATTTCATAGATTGTCCTTGAGATTTATTAATGGTCAAGGCATATGCCAATCGGACTGGAAATTGACGTCTTGTCATTTGGAAAGGCATTTATGAAGAAGATGGTGTCAAAGATATCCTTGGTATAAATGCCAAATTGCCAAACTTTTCTCCAGTTAAAATTTGAGCTTCAATTATGTGAGTGCCACACCTAGTAACCATCAATCTTGTACCATTACATAGTCCATCTTTCGGTGCAATGTTTCTCAACAATATTATAGGACAACTCACTTTTAACTCTAACTTAAAAGTTGGCAACCCAGGAGGATTCAATGAATTTAAATATTCATTAGGATATCTATTTGTAATGGTAGGATCAATTTCATTATCTTCAGACATTTTATCTGCGGCAAGATAAGTATATAATCTCCCTGGAAAGATATTCAACGCAGTAGTATTAATGTCACTGACATCATCGTTACGCGCAGACATAATTGTGCGTTCAGTTAAAAATGTTGGGGTTGACGTCTCTATCATATTCAATTGTGGATAAACTGTAGAGAGTAATTCATTCAAATCTTGACATTTGTGTATTGTTGATGGAAGGTTAACGATTTCTTGAGGATTGGTCCAAATCTAAAAAAAAGTGAAATCAATAAAAAAGTAAGTGTAAACACAATTTATTAATTTAAAATCTACAATTTATAATACAGGTTAAAGTAGTGTTACCTCTATCAAGAAATTTGCAAAATTAGCATTTTCATGGTCTTCATGATTCAAGCGCATATTCAAATCCAAAGTCAAGATATATATATGCTTCCATAAAACAGATTGTCTTAATGATGCATTCACAATTTGCTCACGAACTCCTTTGGGTATAACTAGTAAGATTTGTCGAAAGTCTCCTCCAAGAACAACAGTAATACCCCCAAATGGCTTTTCACTATCACAAATATCCCTCAATGTATGATCAACCGCCTCAACGCAATGTCTATGTTGCATAGGAACTTTATCCCAAATTATGAGTTTTGTTTCTTTAAATAACTCAGCTTGTAATGATTGTTTGTTAAACCCACAAAGTGAATTTTCCAATACATCTAACAGAATGGAAAATGTTGAATGTGCAGTGCGATCTCCTACCAGTAACAGTGATGCAATTCCAGATGAAGCCATAGTAACAACGATATGCCCAAGGCTACGACATTTTAATGCAATCGTATTGTATAGAAATGTTTTCCCTATAGCGGTCCCGATATTTCCTGTTGTTGTTTAACTATAATCCGG